GTTTTGACAAGTTTCCAAGTAAAGTTCAGGCATTTCATTTATTCCAATACCTTCACTATCATTTCATCCAAATGGTATTCCTAAAACTATAAAGACAAATAGCATTCATTATGCCTCTTAGAAATGTGAAATAAAAGAAACAAGAGATATTAAAATCATATTAAAATACTCTCACTTGAAAATGCTACGAATACACCGATTACACCGCCTAGTATCACAATTAGCTTTACTCCATGAGAATTAAATTGTATGGGAAATTTTCCGAAATAATATTACAAACAAATATAACATGTGGAATACTTTCGCTAATAACATGAATGATCATAACTACGATATTTACCTTATGCTAATTAACGTTTTAGCAAAGTAGCGTCTAAAATGGTGCATGAAATAACGATATGTCTATAATTGGCAACTACTGTCAGTTTCGCCACAGATAACTTCTACTAATTGCTCAATTATAAAGAAAATTTAGTAAACAACTGAAAGCCTGCAAACATAACAATATACAATTACAAATGTTCACAGAAAAGATGACTTTACACTTCCAAAATTTAATTCAGGGAAGTTGGAAAAAACAAATTTGAATTATTGATACTACAATCGTTCAGCTGTTTAAGGAATAAGAAATTTAAAAACATGTTTATAGAAAATCCGAACTGTGGGCAAATTCGGTTCCTTACTTAAAAACAGAATATATAGTGTACGACAATTAAACACATATAACTATAACAATTCTTAAGCAGTTTCACATTACTGGATAAAAGTTCCAAAGATCAATGAGTATCACTTGTGGTACTTCGAACGAACGGCCGAATGATATCCATTGCCTGCGATAGTTCTGAAATAACATCAATTTGTACGTACTCGCATATTACAAAGCCACAAAACAACGTTGTGAGTCGCCCACTTAAAGCCAGATAGTTCAAATTGATAGAGACTAAATAAGTCAGTAATATAAGCGAGATGGTTTGAGGAATCTTCAAGAAATTCCTGAATGGCCATACCAGCGCATCCATCAGGACTAAGTGCTGAGATAGTAGCTGCTATAATAATGATGAAAAATATCAAAAAAAAATTGAAATTTTGATGTATATTAGGAGCTATATCTATTCAAATAATTTTTTGGTGGAATGACAAATATAAAATACTCTGTAAAATATAAAATATTTGCAATGTTCACTTTCTCCAACAATTTGAAGGTATTTCATGAAAAAATAATCACATTGTGCGATACCAAAACTCATTATATTTAATCTTATGTTGAAAAGTCCGTTTCCTCCATACTGTTTGTTAGAACTTGTTTTTGAAAATAAGTAACTTTCGGTTATCATTAAAAGGATTAAGTACAGCTTCAAAGAAAAATATTTCTCAATTACCTTGCACTAAGTAGTTTAGTTTCGCGTCGTTCAATATTATCGATATATCTTCTTGATTATTAGAATGCATATTCATTACATACACCTAAAACTCCAACAAACAGAATTGATTAGCTTCAATCAACTTACTCCGTAAACTAATTGAAGCTGAATAGTCCTTATGGTTCTTATGTGATTAACGCCATTACACGGTAAAATATATGCTAAAATATAAAACTGAAACCATGGTATTATATTTAAACGAATAATAAAACTGATCAAAAGAGATTGAAGATAACAAGGTTGATTAATTAAGAAAGAAAACTAAATTTTAACTATGCTTTCCTTCCAAAAAGTAGAAATCCCTAACTAAAGGATTGAGGAGAAAAATCCGTTTTTTACCTTTCCATTTCTTCCTTCCTTGGCATCCACTGAAGAAATCGCAAGAGATGAGGCTAAATTAATTAGACTACAGAACATTTAAATTACTATTTTCATTTCAGATTGTTTCATATTTCACCGACAATTCCACTACAATGCTCACACTTAACTATTCATACTTTTCTATCTTCAAGATTCCCGAAGCTCAAAATGACAACATATGAGAACTTCAAGAAGATCGTCGTTTCTTTAAAAAAACTACAGGGTGTTGTTTCTAAAACAAATTAATCTACATCAAAATCGCTAAAAATTCCGACACAACTAACCACGAGGAAAATTGAGCAATAAAGCACTCTTCAATTTTTCCAAATTCATCACATAAACCTTTGTTAATTGTTTGCAGTGTTCTGAAAAACTGCAACAGTTAAAAAGCAACGAATAACGAAATAAATGTAAGTTATGCAGATGTACCAAACAGGGAGAATGAAGAGAAAGCAGTTAAACTGATGAAAATGCAATTTGATTAAAACGTTGCAAAGTAACGAACAACGCAAAAATTGGAACTTCAGAAAAGTAAAGAAAACCGTGTACCTGAAGGAAGACCCAACTGTTGCATTTCCAGTTCTAGATCTCGAGCTGAACATGCACTTTTTGTCGTTTTTTCTAATATGAATATAAGTGCTGCTAACATTCCTTTCAAAGATTCGTCATCTAAAGAAAATGCTAGTAGATTATAGAAAAAAAAGTGGAAGAAATTGAAACATGTCTCATTTTATGACCAATACATACTTCTGCAAAAAATCATCTGAGTCTTGTCAAGAAAACCTGCATGCAAAGCTGACTTGCGCCCTACCAAATTTATAAAAAACCCTTAATCGTCACCCTCTCTAAAAAACATGTACATACACTCCTATTCTTACAATATTAATCCAGAAATCTACGAAAAAAAGACTTAAAAATGGTGTAAAGCTTTGAAAGTGAAATAGCACATAAACCAGAATCCTCTCTTTCCTACACCACTTCTCCTTCATCTTCTGCCCAAACATCGGAATACACAGCTCTATTGATAATACTTTATCTATGAATAATTTGAACAACATTTACCAAGAGTCTTATCAGCACTGAGTATTGCAAGATGTTCGTCATCCCATTCAGTCCTACCACTGATTAGACACTCCACACAGCTCGAACACCAATTTTTGAACTTTAATACTGGCTGAACAGGCCATGCGATGATTAAATGGAAAACTTGTTAAACAAAATGCCCTTGTTAAAGATGTTTGCAAAACTCTGCATAATATTGATCATCTTGCGCTTATTTTCATTAGGAGTATACGTGATCAGACGTGCTTCAAAAGCAGATTTGAACAAATCAGTAATTTCTACCAATCCCTCCTTTTTTGAAATTTTCCTGCTTCTTTTCAACATCCCGTGGCAACAAAATTCCCCGGAGAAAATGAAAATTGAAGACTCACAAGTTTTGATAAAGAAGCCATCTCAGTCAGGATCCAATCCGGACAGTCCAAGCCACCAACAAAATGAAACTTCTGAAATGATAAAAATATTTCTGAACCACTTAATGACGTCTTTGAATTAAGCGTAGCCTCTGGGAATAAAGTCATGTCAGTGGGAAAAATCGATGGAGAACTCTCCATCGATTTTGTAAGCTGTTATTAACTGCTATTTCAGGGGCTCAAACCAGTCCGACTGAAAACTTTGATTAAGAGCTGCATAAAGTCTAACGTAAACTACACAAAAGAGGAGAAATGGGAGAGAGAAAAAGATAGCTGTATTTCCACGAAAAAAATATTTGATCAGTGTTTTACGGCTTGTCTAATTTCAAAACATATTTCAAAAATCCATCTTCGGATATATAATTTTGCTGGTTGTAATTCGATTCAAATCAATCGAGATCTCTTAAAATTCGGCTTGAAAAACATATGAAATTTGCATACCATTATTTCATTTAAAGTTCGATTTAGTACGAGCTGTCCTTCAAAAATCCAAATTTTTTTTTCAAACGACCGATATTAATAGATACGCTGCAATATAAATAGCTATAAATAGGTACGCTGCGTCTAATAATTCACAAATGAATTGAATAGGAGGAGTTTGGATGTTCTTTACCGTGGTATTGTGTGTTCAGTCTGCAAGGTTCCATTTCTGCTATTGTTTGCAATTGGAAAAGCTAAACGTTAAATCCCTTAGAAAAGGAAAGGAAAGGAAAGCAATTAAGGATTATATCGCTAGCAGCTAAAGCACTCGATGTTCTCTGAGGATCAAAATAACCTCACTTTCATGCGAATTAAACACAACTAGCATAGTCCTCCGTTTGAACGGAAGACCGGATTAGACTTATAACAACGAAGATTCATAGATAGAGAAGAAGAAACGGACATCCCAGTACTCCTGCTTCCCCAATTTCCACCTCTTCTTCCTGATTAAGAAAAGATTAGAGTAAGCAAAGAATCTCAAATTAAAACATACTATCCATGCGGTTGATTCCATGATTTTCACTGTGACAAAGTCATTGTAGCTTACTCGAAAAAAGAAAGAGTGATACTTGTCGGCGGGGGATACTGATTTTTGCGAAATATGGAAGATATGAGGACAATGCTTAGGGTAAAAAAGAATACGCAAGTGAAGAGAGATAAGAGGTTTCGCAAAAATAGAAAGATTGACGTTAGGATGTGGTAGAGGAGTAGTAGCAGAGGGTGTACGATGTGAAGAGTGCAGTGCAATGTGCAAGAAGTTGGACGAAGAATGCATGCAAGGAGTGCCTCAATGTTTATTGCTTTTTCTGAAGTTTTATAAAGGACGCAGGAAGAGGTCATCATCTATTGCTGGTAATGTTAGGCTTATTGAGGTTTCGGGCGGGATGTGCATAATGCAACGAGTGCCTCAGTGTTTATTGCTTTTTCTGAAGTTTTATAAAGAACACAAGGAGAGGTCATCATTTATTGTTAGTAGTGTTGGACTTATTGAGGTGTCGGGCGGGATGTGTATAATTCCTTTCTTTTCACAAACTGAAAATATCGTTTGTCCAATTCCTCCCTTTCACAATTGAAATGGTAGTTGTGTTTTTGTGATCTTTTTAATTCAGAAAGCGCCCTTCATTGTCGTCGCCTTGCACTTCGTGCGTATTCTGTTCAAACATACCATAATTTTGGAAATTCTATCAGCTTTTTTTTGAAATACGTAAAATAAAATAAAATGGCACTGTAAGTATTTCAAATTCTTTTCCAGACAATTTCGTACAAGATGGTAGATTCTTTGGAAGATGAATACGGTACTCCATCTTTGTCACTGAATTTTGTGGATACACCCGATGGCGATTCCTCCTTACTTCATGGAGCTACTCAGGTTGTCGTTAAGAAAACTCCAGCTTTTATTATTTTTAGTTCTCTAGTTGTGGAATTTTCTTCCAAAAATAAATTTCCTTATCAAAATTTTTCAACTTATAGGATTCGCAGTTTGAATTTGATCAGCAATTTACACTTCCTTCACAAGGATGGGCAGGTACTCTTCCTGAAGTTGGTGCTGACCCATCACAGGAATTAGTATTCGTAGACGAGGAAGAGTTTCCTGTGCCAGGGCAACTACCAGCACATGCATGCAGGTATTTTTGAATACATTATTCTGCGAAATAATTGAATAGGTTTTTGGGAGTTCTTCATTGTCGAAAATATAAAGTATCCATCAAAACTTTGGGAGTAAAAACTTCCGATAAATTGCAAACTTGCATTCCATTTTCAGATATTGTGGTATACATGACCCAGCTACAGTGGCAATGTGCATGGTTTGTGAAAAGTGGTTTTGTAATGGACGTGGAAGTACATCCGCCGGTCACATAGTTATACATTTAGTGCGTTCGCAACACAAAGAAGTTTCGTTACACAAGGAAGGTGCACTTGGTGAAACAGTATTGGAATGTTATCAATGCGGTTCAAAGTTTGTTATTTCATTTGTTTTTAGATAACCTGGCTAAAGTTAGGATTTTCAAAGCATGTTGGTAAGTGTTTCAAGCAAAACCTGATCCGAGTTGGATGTTTGATAGCAAGCAGTTCCAACCGTCGGAATTAAGTGATAGAATGATGAAAATACGAAATCATGTGAAGATTAAAAGGGTAATCGAGCATTTCTAGAAAAGGAAATTATAGAATATTTTTTACAGATTCGTGAGTGCTGAAATGTTTTTGAAGGCAAACATATCAATTTTATAGTTTTCTGTTTAGATAACACTTCTCTCATAACGATAGTACAAGATCTGTGAAGCGACTTGTTCAGCTTCTTTTAGTTAGAGAATTTGGTGCATGTATTAGACGCTTCCAAATATTTTGATTTCAGGAACATTTTTATGCTTGGATATATTCCTGCAAAAGCAGACACGGTTGTCGTAGTGCTTTGTCGTTCACCTTGTGCAAATCAAGCTGTTTTGAAGGATCACTCTTGGCAGGTTATAGTTTGTGATTCTCATTGAATATGTAGTTGTTTGACTGATTTTTTTCTCATGTTCTATTTCTTCATTTGCCAGAAATATCTACAGATTTAACGGGAAAACTCTTGCTGTTTCAAGTTAAATCCAAATACTCTTCTTGGAAATATACCCTCCCTTGGAAAAAGGAAAATAAATACTTTTTAGCGTCTCTATCAGTTTAGGTGGATGAGTGGAAACCGTTGATCAGTGATCGGCAGTTGCTATCCTGGCTTGTAAAGATACCGTCTGAACAGGAGCAACTGAGAGCGCGTCAGATAAGTGCTGTACAAATCAATCGACTTGAAGAACTTTGGAAGGTCTGTTTCTTTCCAATATAAACCGTAATACCTGAGGAGTTAAAGATTTTCAAATATTTTTTGAAAATTTTCAGGAAGATCCCAAAGCTGTGTTTGAAGATTTGGAAAGGCCAGGAATGGATGAGGAACCAGATCATGTGCAGCTGAAATATGAAGATGCATATCAGTATAAGCGTGTATTTGAACCGTTAGTGAAAGCTGAAGCAGACTATGATCGAAGAGAAAAAGAATCTCAGACACAAAACGTCGGTCATGTTCGTTGGGATGTTGGTCTCAACCGGAAGCCACAAGCTTTTTTCCAGTTGCCGAAGTTTTCGGAAGGAAGTTAGTGATCTTGTTACTGAAATCTATTCGGTGTAGCAAAAATATATTGGACTCGTAGTGGAATCTATTGATTTAATAGATTGCAGATTATAGGATTTTATATGGAAGTCATAGTAGTATACAACGTCGTTTCTAAACCTTGCAGGTATGAAGCTGATGCTGGGAGATGAATTGCGTTTAAAGCACTCTCAAACTGCTGGTGGTGAATGGAGTTCGATTGGATGTGTTATCAAAATTCCCGATAGTATGTGTTAGATTCATTTAATTTTTAACCAGTTTTTTTTAAATATTAATCGAAACACTCAGCTAATTTTTAATTGAAATAAATTATCACGAACCTTCGGTTGTTTAATTAGCCACGACTCCTTTTAAGATAGAAGTATAAGCCTAATATGGACATGCATCATCACATGCATTGAAGACATGCATTGAAAGAAGTTTAAAGTGTCAATAGAATTCGAACGTTATTATGTTTTCTTGGATTATTTATGAGATGTACGAAATAATTCCAGTTCTTTCAGATCATAATGATGAGGTTGGAATCGAAATGCGACTGAAGGCAGAGAATGTACCCACCGACACACGAACGAATTTTACATGTGAATTTGTGTGGAATTCCACATCATTTGACAGGTTCTCTTTGCTATTTTACTTTTGTGGTATTCATTGTTGATCCTCTTCAATGAAAATTTATCTCAAGGCAATCATTATCACTACCTTGTTGTAAAATTGGGTATTGATCTTACTATTAATAACTCCGTTTTTGCATACGATTTGTGTTTATAATATTTTCATTTTATGGAGGACACAAATTTCAGAATGCAGGCTGCGTTGTCTTTATTGGGTCAAGATGAAGAATGTGTTTCACAGTTTATCTACCACAAGTTGATGGGCCACGATATTGATGATATTATTTTTAAAGTATCATTGCCAAAAAGATTTAGTGTACCGGGTTTACCGGAGTTGAAT